TTTTTTTTTTTTTTTTTTTTTGGTCCAATTGCATGCTTTTCACTCTTCAATGGTTGTGAATTTCTTTGGAATCTTGCCTGAGTTTAACCTGATCCTGATCACATGGTCAACCAAAGTTTGCTAATCAGCCTTTTATCAGAAGAAGGAATAGCCTAGTCTAAAATCATGTTACTGGAGACATAGTGCATTCATTTGATGTTAATAAAGTAGATTTGGTGTTGACCTTGGCACCCAACACAGCTTTACCTCCATTGCAGCATACTTAAGGTAATCTAATGAGGCCATTCATTTCTCTGGGCAAACGGTGAGCAAACTCGGATTTTCTACCTCTGCTCAAAGCATCACCAGTCTGAAGACTAACTTTCCATCAGCCTTCAGAGCTCCAGGGCTTCAAGGGGCTTGGCAGTGATTGAAACAGCCAGGTGGTGGAGGGAGCGGGGTAAGACAAGAAAAATCAAAACTAAGGCTGGACTCATACACTGAAAGTCAGTCTAATCCCTTGATTTCTGACCTATGGACTGCTGCTGATTCACTACAAATAAATATGTGCACCAAGCATTGTGGGCAGCCTGAATAAATGATATCTACTGCACATATAGCCAGTTTTCATATGTATATAATGCCATGAGGATTCATTTTTACACATTCATTTCAAAGTAAGATCATACTAACTTTTTATTCTGGTGAATTTTCTCAAACAGGAGATTCTAAGTGTACAAATACATTATATGAGTGTTTGCATAAAAGGGTCCTCACTTTGGAAACAAATGCCAACCAGCAGTAGTCTATCTGCAGCAGAACCATGCCCCCCACGACCCCAACATGCAGCTCCAAGACAGGTACCACACTTGTCCTTATTTCTGACACTTAGCTAAGTGTCCTTCCCATATATTGAATGAAGACCTTCTTCTGCTCCAGGACAAGCTAAGATTGTCCATTCTCCCTTGAGAAGTATCCCTCACATTGCAAGATTTGCCCCCAATTAGCTTTAGTGTATTAAAGCTGAGGGTCCCTGGGTAATATACCTTTCACAGAGTTATGAAATTTTCTAAATGAAACTTAAAGATGGCCCATGCAACCCCATCATTTTACAGGAACACTGAGCTTAAAGAGGTACACAAGGCTACTAGCTGGCAAGTTGGGCCCTCAATAAGACACAGGCTCTCTACCTAGGCTCTTTACCTAAGCTCTTTATGTGAATCTAGGGAGTCCCTTTTAACTTTAGATAATTCAACTACAGCTGACTCTTGAACAACACAAGTTTAAACTGCAGAAGTGTACTTATACATTAACTTTTTTCAATAAATACAGTCGGTCCTTCCTATATGCGGGTTTTCACATCTGTGAATGCAACCAACGGAAGATTGGAAACAATATTTTTGCATTCCAAACCACACTTCCCCAGCTGTGGATCCCCTACTGGATGGAAAATACTGTTTGGATCTGTGTTTGGTTGAATCTGAGGATCCAAATGGCCAACTGTAGAACCCAAAGTTATACGTGGATTTTTGACTATGCAGGAGTCATGCCCTTGAACCCCAAGTTGTTCAAGGGTCAAATGTATATGGAATAAGAGGGAGATTTAAGAGAAAGAAAAAGAAAATTTAATGATATTGAGGATCTGTCCACTATTTCTCTCAAATGTTTTGTTCTTCAAAGTACATTGTCCTCCCTTATCTGTTGGGGAAGCATTTCAAAACCCTCAGTAGATGCCTGAAAACTTAGTCTGAAACCCTGTATATGCTATATTTTTTCCTATACACACATACCTGTGGTAAAGTTCAGTTTATAAATTAGGTACAATAAGAGATTAACAATCACTAATAATAAGAGAACAATTATAACAGTATATTATAATAAAAGTTCTAGGAATGTGGCCTGTCTCTGTCTATCTCTCTGATAACCAGTCTGATAAACAATCTGGCTACTAATTGACTAATGGGCAGAGAGCCTGTGCAGCCTGGATATGTGCATGAGTCACTTCTCTGGCAGGACAGAGCAGGGAAGCTTAAGATTTTTTTACACTACTCAGAGCAGGTCACAATTTAAAACTGGTGAATTGTTTATTTCTGGAATTTTCCGTTTAATATTATCAGACCAAGGTTGACCACGGGTGACTAAAACTTCAGAAAGCAGAACAGCAGATAAGGGCTACTGCGCATGTGAGATTGGAGAACTAACTTTTCTTTCTGCTGGTCTCAGTTCTCATGTCCCTTTCTCAGAGTGATCATCTCGCCATATTTAGTGTGATAAGGTCATTTCAAGATCCATATCTTTGGTACAACCTGGCTGTTAAACACAGCCAGGCATTCAACTGGTACTCAACCAGAGAAGTCTTGGTCAGTTCCAATACAAGAAGAAAAACCTGGCCTTCTTTTTAAAATCTACTCTTGTTTGGAAATGTTATTTACCTGTTTTCTTTCATTTTCTTTTAGTGTTTGAAAAATCAAACTCAACATTTTCATGGAAAATATAACCAAGTGATTAACCTGAAGTACATATGGTTAAGTGTGAATCAAGGGTGAGTTTCTGAACAATTCTAATGGTCTTTTTTCTTGTCTTCAAAATGTGGAAAATATGCCAGTATTTCTTAAGAAAGCCTGATAGACATAGTGGACTACAGTAGGGGCTTAGCACTTTATTTATATGTGTATTAAATATGCTTATTTCCATTGAGAATTTGGAGCAGAGTACTCAAGAATCTCAGTAACTGCTCCTCTCACCCTTTCTAGTTCTGTCTGCAATTAAAAAACAAAACAAAACAAAAAACACCCCCCCACACAAAATAAAAAACTCAGAGCTTTTAATCAGAGTTTTACTTGGGAGGCTTAAATTTTGCAGAACAACACAACATAACTAATGTAGATAATAATGGCTGAGTAAATAATCTACAGACTGACACAAGTAATAAAAATTTGGTGGCTTTATAAGATGCATAAAAACAAACCTGAGAATATGAAAGTATTAATTGGAAACAAGATATTCAGTTTTAATGTACTGAGTTCATATATAAGAAAGCTAATTCATTTTTGGAGTTATCTCATACATTAATAATAGCATGACATGACTAAAGCTCATTTTACTTGGAATCTTTCTCTTGTGAACCATTTCTCAAACCACTTCTAAGTATGGGTTCCCAGAGTCAAGTTTTCATAGTGATTTCCTGACTCCTGCTCCAAGATCAGCTGTATCAGAGAAAATAAGATTTTCATGATATTCAAGAAATCTACCTTCTGCAGCAGGGGAATGGGTATTTACGGGGTAAGAGCATCACTTGGGATTACTTAAAAGTCAGAAGGCCTATTTCTCAAGATAAATGCCTCTTCAGGAGATAAAGCAAATACTGAAGATTTTGTTAACCTTTGGTTGTGCCAAACTTTTGTCCTCATGTCCTTTTAAAAGCAAAGATCTGCCTTCTGGATAGTTCTGAAATACAGCTGTCAGTATTTGGAGGATAGTAAAACATGACTAGTGTCTGAACTGATGCTGCCTGTCTGTGCCTTTCCCTCCAGTGCAAATCAAGGCAGTTGATAAAGTATTTCTTAGGCTCAGGATACCAGTGTTCTCTTCCCAGGTCTATGGCTGGCTGAATAATCTTAAACACACCGCTTAATTTCTTTACACGTTTTCTCACAACAGAACAGAAATAATTCCACTTTCCTCACAGAAATGCTAAGATGACTAAGAAAATAATGTCTGTAAAGCCTCTTTAGTTCTTTAGAGAGAAATTCTAGATAAAAACATGGAATTCTTTAAGGCTATGGATTCAGCTATCACAAGAGGAATAATTATTTGGCTCCCAAAGTTAAGTCACACTTTAATGATGTGGCACAACCAAAAAAGCCACTATGTGCTTATTAAATCTTTTTCTCTTTTTGTTTCACTTATCCACAGATTTTTTAAATAAATGAGACATGTAGTCTTTTAAAAAATATTTTATCAATTCTAGAGAGAGAGAGGGAGAGAGACAGAGAGAAACATCGATTTGTTTTTTCACTTATTGATACATTCATTGTTGCTTCTTGTATGTGCCCTGATCAGAGATTGAACTCTTAACCTTGGCACGTCAGGACAATGCTCTAACCAGCTGAGTTACCCAGCCGAAGCCTATCCACAAAATTTTAAAGTAACGCTTTTATCTTTCCATGTTTATGCATAGATATTTGAGAGAATTATATGCAGTTAAATAATCACTGTAAGCACCATAATTATTCATATGTAATTCATAGATGAGTCCTTACATTGCAGTACTATCTGGAATGATATAGTTGTAGTTTTCCTTTTGACAGTGAATGTAAAAAAAAATCAAGGTTAGACTCATTTATTACAGAATTTATAATGTATGTCACTGTGATTCATTCTTTACATAACTCAAAAAAGCTGAGTGATAATCACAAATAAGCATTATCTTTTGAGGAAGTCTATTATTTTGAGTCATCCTTGAGAAAGGTTTGGAGGAGATGATAATATTCTCACTTCTAAAGTTGTTATGACAGCCAATAATAAACATGCATTTGCATTCTAAAACTAATTTATCCAAGCCATATGAAATTTCAAGCTCTCTAAGGCTCACTAGGACACAGGATGTTTCCGATTGAGGAAAGAGAACTTTAAGGAGTCTGGTTATTAGGACAACGAGGGAAGGGACAAGCAGAGGTAGGGACAAATGAACACCACTAGACATCAGAGAAGGGAAGGACTAACCCATTTGAGATTTGTGCTCTCTAAAGAGAGAAGGGGCTCATGATGTAGATAGAAAGTGTGCTATGGCCAAACTACGCAATATGGGCAAGGTCATAATCCTAGCAATTGCTCAATAAATATTCGCTCAGTGTCAGGAGTGAGTCATGCCAGAAAAAAAATAAACAAACATGACATGGAATTTGGACGAGAGCGTGGGGATGACAGCCTTTCAGCATCCAGGACAGATAGGAAGGTCCACACAACAGGGCAACTGATAAGTAAGGGTCCATCGAGGGCAGCTCAGTCTGTCCTCTCCCAGATAGTTACACATCTTGTGAGAAGAGCAAGTCATTGACAGTGAGAAAGCTTCACTCTGAGATGCTTGCTGGTGGGCATGTGTGCTGCTATTCTCAGCTGTCAAACTGTTTCCTCAACAAATATTAAAAATCTATTTATACTTCAAAATTTCCCCTCTTAAATTATTTTTGTGAAGGCGAAAATGATGTAAAATGGCTCTTTCTAGTTCATAGTAAGTAAAAAATAGGCACTATCCGTATGTTAATGAGAGAGTCTAAGCTTTAGCTGAAGAAGGTATATGTAGACTTCTTTATTTTTTCCTCATTTTCTGGAACTCCGGTTTTTGCCTCTGTTTTGTTGACTGCTGCTACTTCATCTCCATCGGAGTTGGTCATCCTTCCCTTGCCAAGGATGAGATACGCATCAGTCTCAACCGAGGCCTATGCTCGCAGCACCACCTTGGAGCTCCCTTTGTAACCCAGCCCTTCATGAAGCTAATGAGGACACCCACCCATTATTCACCTTCTATCAGACAGAGTATCCCCTTCCCAAACTACCTAGACCCATATCTTATTCTTCACCCCTATAGTTTTTAGCTATTTTTAAAAAATTTTTTAAATGCTCTATTCTCAACATAATATAATAGCAGTTATTAAACCCATTTTGAAGGCTTTAGTCACATTATATTGAAACAAACCAAAACTAAGTTTAATCAAAGTCATAAGGACCCTCAGTTTCACTAGTCCTGGACAAACAGGTATTCACCTTAATGTGTTCACTTGCATTCACACAAGCTAAAACAGTTCCAGGATGAAGTACTTATTGGTATAACATGGATAGATTCATTTCCAATAGACAATAATGAAATATCAATTTACAACATGGGTAATCCAAACCTGAAATTTGGCATAGATGAGGTAGAAATACCTCAGTAACTAACACATTTAATATAATTATCTTCGCCNTGGGCATGTGTGCTGCTATTCTCAGCTGTCAAACTGTTTCCTCAACAAATATTAAAAATCTATTTATACTTCAAAATTTCCCCTCTTAAATTATTTTTGTGAAGGCGAAAATGATGTAAAATGGCTCTTTCTAGTTCATAGTAAGTAAAAAATAGGCACTATCCGTATGTTAATGAGAGAGTCTAAGCTTTAGCTGAAGAAGGTATATGTAGACTTCTTTATTTTTTCCTCATTTTCTGGAACTCCGGTTTTTGCCTCTGTTTTGTTGACTGCTGCTACTTCATCTCCATCGGAGTTGGTCATCCTTCCCTTGCCAAGGATGAGATACGCATCAGTCTCAACCGAGGCCTATGCTCGCAGCACCACCTTGGAGCTCCCTTTGTAACCCAGCCCTTCATGAAGCTAATGAGGACACCCACCCATTATTCACCTTCTATCAGACAGAGTATCCCCTTCCCAAACTACCTAGACCCATATCTTATTCTTCACCCCTATAGTTTTTAGCTATTTTTAAAAAATTTTTTAAATGCTCTATTCTCAACATAATATAATAGCAGTTATTAAACCCATTTTGAAGGCTTTAGTCACATTATATTGAAACAAACCAAAACTAAGTTTAATCAAAGTCATAAGGACCCTCAGTTTCACTAGTCCTGGACAAACAGGTATTCACCTTAATGTGTTCACTTGCATTCACACAAGCTAAAACAGTTCCAGGATGAAGTACTTATTGGTATAACATGGATAGATTCATTTCCAATAGACAATAATGAAATATCAATTTACAACATGGGTAATCCAAACCTGAAATTTGGCATAGATGAGGTAGAAATACCTCAGTAACTAACACATTTAATATAATTATCTTCGCCCGGCCGGGTGTGGCTCAGCGGTTGAGCGTCGACCTAGGATCCAGGCGATCAGGGTTCGATTCCCGGTCAGGGCACATGCCCGGGTTGTGGGCTGCAGCCGATCAATGACTCTCTCATCTTTGATGTTTCTAGCTCTCTCTCTCCCTCTCCTTCCCTCTCTCTAAAATCAATAAAGATATATTTAATATATATAATTATCCTCAACGTTTTGTGTTTTTTTTATGATGATGTTATTCTGATATCAAACCCTGCCAACTGAAAAGCCAATGATCCAGAGGCAAGAGCTGGTACGAGGAAAGTCAGTTTACTCAAGAGCTGGAAGCCTGAGAAGATGATGGACTAACGTTGCAAAGACCACCTTAAGATTTCAGAGCAGGCAGGGTTTTTTTATGAGCAAGGAAGGGAAAGGCATAACAAAGGAAACTGGAGAGAGGGAAGGAAGGAGTTATGGGCTCTCTGATGAGGGTGCTATGTGCCAGTCAGGATAGTCTGCTCTGATCACCTTCTCAGAGACAGTCAAATGACCATCTGATTGCTGCCATCCCTGTTTTACCGTCAAACGGAAGCAAGTCTCCAGAGCCAAAATGCTTTCTTTGAGGTTAGTTCCTAGAATCCATTGAGCAATCCTGTTTATCCACAGCTACATGTGAATTTATAAGTCATTCACAGAAATAATGTTAAAACAATGTTGGGGTGGGTTAAAA